ATTCAATTCTGAAGCCTTCAGAGGTCACATTGTCCCCTTGTGTGACTGTAAGTTCTAAGAGCTTTATACGAAATCCTGGTGAAGCCCTTCGGTGACAACAAAAAGAACCCTGTCCATTTGTGCCCCGGTTTACGTTTTTTGCATCGTCACCAGTGTTTAGTGTCGGGCACATAGCTGTGGAATAATCGCCATATCTAAGAGTTCCTCAGGTTCTTTCTTCCAGTCTCTGCCTATGAATTAAATAGTACATAAAGCAGTCCCTGTATGGCAGTACAAAAAACACAGGTTGAACTCTTCCTTTTTACCGCTCAGTGGCAGCACGTTCTCAGATGCGAGCTAACACTACCACAGTGAGGAGACGTGGCCCTTCCTTGCAGAGTGAAGTTAGGTGTGGCTTCCCACCTGTGAGGCGGTGCTGATAACTCAGGAGTATGGGCCCCACTGTGTCAGAAGATTTAGGATGAGGGGTGGCCTATGTCTTAGACCCTGAAGTGTGCTCTTGTAATCTGAGGTGTGGTTAACCTTTGGAGTGAGGCTGGGAACACCTCGATAGAGCATCTCTAGCCGAGTGGCTGCAGAAGCCAACAGGGTGAGCGCTCCCTCCGCCACAGCCATGCAGTGACTGGGTGGCTTTGTTCACCTTAACAGTTGCATGAACATCTCGTTACTCTTAAGGGTTTCACATATGAAACTTGAGAAAGCTAGTGTACAAATGGAGTTATCTGCATACAGGTAAATAAACCACAGTGGGGTCTGAACTGCCCCAGCACCAGGCTCCAGACGACGGCTGCCCCTGCTCCTTTCCTGCTGTCTCTTGGAATACTAAAGTAGGAGGTTCATAAGTGGTATTTTCAAAATAAAATCTTCGGATCAGAGGAAAAACTTAATCCCTTCTATATTTTTGTTACTAATAAATAATGCTTTTGTAAATCTGACTGGGAAAACTACTTGTATGCATTCATATTGAGTGGTACTTACGCCTTTGGGATCAATTTAAAAATGTACTACTTGATTACAGTTTCAACGAAGATGAATTCCAATAACCAAAACAATAAAACATTTCGAAGCTAGAAATTGGTGTGGTATGTGTGATGTGGACCACCAGTGTGGGGTGGATCACAAGGACCTGGGTGCCGTGGCAGTGCAGGGCCACCCTTGGCCACACAGGGGAGTTCACCCCGGCAAGAGCTTTATGACACCATTCATAATAAATAAAAGGAGTAAAATAGCTGAATAACTCACACGTATTTCTCACTTAGCTACTTTGTGCACTAATATGCTCATCCTCCGGGAGTTCTGGGATTAAAGACGTGCATACTACCTTCCGGCTACTACCAGTCTTTTAAAGGTATTTTCATGTTTTGAGGCATTTGGCCCCTAACACCTTTACCCCATCTTTGGGTGTAAAATAACTGTGAAGTTTAGTTCACTGTGTCAGACAACCCACTCAGCCACTCACGTATGCAGGATCTAAACCATAAATGCGCTGCCACCCTGCCGCGCCCCCTGCTGGTCAAGACGTGGAGTGGGCTGTTCACCATTCTCTGCAGAACTGCTTGCTCTGTCCTCCTCACCTGTTTCCTTATACGATCGAGTGAGCATGTGCAAGCAGAGGACAGCTAAGTTTAAGCTCATCCGTGTCCCTCTTGCTGCTGCCTCCAAATTTGCAGTTGTTTTGACCTTATTTTGTCTCTTTAATACTTGTGCTGCCCAGCTTTCAAAATAGCATCATCATATAGATAGCCTTTATATATATATATATATATATATATATATATATATATATATATATATATAATATCAGTTCTCAGGATCGGCCACTAGAAAAAGGCAAATATTTGGTATTCAAATTTTTCTGAGCTTTTTAGTTCAGGTACTCGGTTGCTTCCAGAGACTGGTAAATTCTTTCTTACTTTCCAGTTTTAAATGGGAATCAGGCTAGAGAGATGGTTCATTGGTCAAGCACACTGGTTGCTCTTGCAGAGGATCCAGGTTTGATAGCAGCCCACAGCCACCTGTATAGCCAGTTCTGAGGGATCCAGTACGCTCCAAAGACACAGGCCTACATTCAGGCAAAACACCCAGATACATAAAATAGTGATAATAATTTTTATAAAGGTAAAATTAACTCTACAAGGGTGGGATCACTTTGGTCTCTGCTAAAAACGAAACTTATTACGTAGCCTTGGCTGGCCTGAACTCCCTGTGTAGACCAGGCTGACCTTGAATTAGAAGAAGTCTGCCTGTCTCTGCCTCCCAAGGGCTGAGGTGAGAGGCTTGTACCACCACATCCAGGAGCTGATCCCTTTTTTAGGGTGAAGTCCAAGCACTGGTGAGGAACTGAACTGACTCCATCCTATACTTGTGTCCCTGCGCACAGTACTCACTTTGGCGGGGGAGGATGTTTGTGTTTTATGAGCTTCTCTACTGTAGACCCTGGATCTGCCTCATCCTCTCCCCTCTACGATGGGACAGGCCTTCCCAGGCTGCTGCCTTTGCTGTCTGAGCCTGCTGAACTGCTGCTGCTCTGCCGCTCAAGGTCCTGAAGCTGGGATTCATAGCGTTTCATTTCCGCTGTGATCCAGTCTAGCCTGTTCTTCCACTGTGGCCTGAGCCTCCCCCAGCTCCGGTTTGACAAGCAAGGGACACAGAAGCTTAAAGACCACATTGGATCCACCCAGCAAGGCCAGTTCCCTCTTCACAATACTATCTTCTGTTAGCTGTGCCTCAGGCTTCAGCCTTCCTGACGTGGGTTTGCTCACGTCCCTTCCATAGCTGGAGGTGTTTCTCCACTTCCCCCAGCAGCTTCTTTCGGATCAGCTCTGCCTGACAGAGGTGAAAGCCTCCTGGGGGTGGGTCGCTGGGTTTCAGGCTCTAAGGCACCCGAGCGCTCCCTTTCGGCCCTTCAGGAAGGGCAGCACTTCTATTGGCAGCCATTTAAGGCATCACAGCCTCTCCTCAAGATTTGCCACTCCCTAGGAAGACCCAGATCCTCCCACCCAAACCTTCTCATTTAACATCTTTGAAAACTAGTGCCTCCTGGAGCCGGCAGCAGGGGCTCAAGTATCGACTCTCCAGACTCTCAGAGCCTCAGGACCACCTTTCAAGGAAGGGTCCATAAACCACTCAAATGTCAGAGCTGTACCTCTTCATTTTTAACTGTGAAAGTTAAGAGTGAAAACTCCGCCCTTGGTTGGTGAACGGAAGCAGGCTGCAACTGCTAGCTGCCACGCTACAGAGTCCATCTTTAAAGGGAAAGGCAGCAAACAGCTTAGCGGGCTGATGTGGAGATGAGTCCTGGGGAGCAGAACAAACAGGGATAGGGATGGCAGAGGGGCTGTCCTAAAATGTCACGTTTAATTGAGACAGAGGAAAGACTGTAGTTAGAAGGCCCACACCTGGCGGGTCAGAGGGCTGGAGATAGTGCAGCGCAGCCAGAGTCACGGCAGTGGCGGAGGGATATTGTACAGCGCAGCGAGTCATGGTGGTGGCGGAGCAGTCAAGTCTGTGAGAAGCAATCAGGAACCATACCAAAAAAAAAATCCATTGTGAAAAAGAACAAGAGCAATAGAGATGGCTCAGGGGTTAAGAGCACTGGCGACCCTTGGAGAGGACTAGAGTTCAAATATCAGCAGTAATTTTCAGGCAACTCAACTTCCTGGAACTCCAGCTCCAGAGTACGTGTCTCACTTCCCTCCTCTGTCTAGATGAGGTCACGCCAGACACATACAAATAAAATCTAATAAAGAATGAGAAGGAAATGACGCTAAGAATACAAAGGTCAAGGAGATAGCCAGCATTCTGAAGGACGTTCTGGATGGATGGAGAACGAGTGGACTGGGGTGTAGTAGGAGCTGAGGGGCTGCGTTCCTGCCACCCAGCTCCTGGCCGCCTGGTTAGCTTATGCCCCAAAATAACAACACACAAACTGTATTCATATAAACACTGCTTGGCCCATTTTTATTAATGCGTGTAGCACCACGAGATGCACTTACCAGGAAGATTCTAGCCTACGTCCATCCTGGGTCGGAGCTTCATCTTCTGCCTCAGAGAGGAGAGCAATGGAGTCTGAGCTCACTTCCTCTTCCTCCCAGCATTCTGTTCTGTTTACTCCACCCACCTATGTTCTAACCTATCAGGCCAAGCAGTTTCTTATTAATTAACGAATGAAAGCAACAGATTGATATGACACTCCCACATCACTGGGGGAGGAGGGTTTATCTTCCCAGATTAGGAAGGAATCGAAGAGGCTGGCATTTGAGAGCCTAGGGAAAATTTGTGTACTTAAGAAGCTGGCAAAAATCTACATAGGGAGTAGAAAAAGACAAGTTCTCCTGAGTAAATTGGGAGCGTGGGGACCATGGGAGAGGGTAGGAGGGGAGGGGAGAGGAAGGGAGGTGAATGGAGAAAAACATATAGCTCAATAAAAACAACTGAAAAGGAGAAGTTGGCAAAGACCAGGCAGTGGTGACACACGCCTTTTATCCTAGCACTTTGGAGGCAGAGGCAGGAGGATCTCTGGTCTGCAGAGTGAGTCCCAGGACAGCCAGGGCAACAAAGAGAAACCCTGTCTCCAACAAACAAACAGAAAAAAGCTGGTAAAGAACCAAATGACAGAAAACATGGTGGCAGCGAGCTTGGTGGCGGGCATCCAGTCTGCAGGCAGATGCTTTACCTCAGCTGGGGACCCTTTCCTGAGACTGGCTTAGCATTTCAGCACAGATATTCAGCTCAGGAATAGCTGTGCTGGATGGTAATGGTCCATATAGTCTATCTTTGTCTTTTGGTAGGAAAATCTCTACATCCTAATAAAGCTTGTGTTGGAGGCGACGTACTTCAGAGTTGGTGCTGAGGGGCTGGTGCAGCGTTGGAGTGGCCCGTGGCCAGCGCTGCTCTTCAGTCATAGGAAGGTGACCTGCTGGTCAGCAAACAAGGTAGTTAACAAGGGGCTTGGTGCCCGATGGGAGAAAAGCAATGCCCAGTGCTACAGACTTCTGTGACATGGATTCTTTTAATTACTGAAGGCAGTACAAACTGATAAAACTTATAAAAATTTAGAAATACGTTTTTAGGCCATGAAAATGTATCTATCTTTTGACTCAATGGACCCATTAGTGGAATTTTATACAAAGAAGACCAAGAACAGAATAAAGCTCTAAGGACATAAATGTGCTGTCGTCATAGCAACAAGCTGAAACCACCCACATGACCACAGAAAAGGGGCTGGGTCAGTAGCTGGCTCACTCCCACTGCAAACGCAGTGACTTCAGGGCGGCCCATTCTCACCCTCAGTGGAGACAGGCCACTGCCTGGTGGATATGGACTGTCATCATGGTAAAGTGGTTTCCTTACATTTTATGTCATGCCTCCACACACATAAGATATGTGATGAGATGCAGAAAACAGATGGCTCAAATATTGAGAATATGCAGGGTGAGGTTCTGATGTGTTTCCTTTTATCTTTCTAGGCACACTGTGTGATGTGACCACACTGCTTCAGGGGCTGGGTGCTCTGTTCACACTGTGGTGTGAGCACACTGCTCCAGAGGCTGGGGGCTCTGTTCACACTAGTGTGAGCACATCACTCCAGAGGCTGGGTGCTCTGTTCACACTAGTGTGAGCACACTGCTCCAGAGGCTGGGGGCTCTGTTCACACTAGTGTGAGCACACTGCTGCAGAGGCTGGGTGCTCTGTTCACACTAGTGTGAGCACACTGCTCCAGGGGCTGGGTGCTCTGTTCACACTATGGTATGAGCACACCGCTCCAGAGGCTGGGTGCTCTGTTCACACTATGGTATGAGCACATCACTCCAGAGGCTGGGGGCTCTGTTCACACTAGTGTGAGCACACTGCTCCAGAGGCTGGGTGTGTCTATACTAAAGTCAAGGAAAGAGTAGTGATGCGTTTCCCTTTTATTTATTTTCCCAAGTACTATGTGTGCATCTTCAGAAATAAAATATACAACCCTAAAGTCCAGTTCAAGACAGGAATTCTGTCCAAAGCTTCTGAGTCAGAGACTGAAATACGTCTAGTTTTAAGGGTTATTTGTGTGTCTATTGACACTGGGCTACTCCCTCATCTGAAACAATCATCAGTATGAGGTATAAGTGGTTATGCCTAACATAAAGAACTAGTTATTTAAAATAGTGGTTTTTTTTCCTTTTTTACAGCCTTGGTAAAGGGCCTATGGGTTTGTAGACTAATTAACTTTGCCATCGGCGTTTTGCAGAGTCTTGGGACCGGCTCCTTTCGAGTGCTCTAACAGTTTAATGGCCTTGTCGGAGTTGTCAATGTTCCTCAGCAGAGTCTCCAGACGCCGCTTAATTTTCTTCTGATCTTCAAGGGCGCAACCAATTACAATCGATTGAAATTTTTGGTCAACTGGACCAGGTGGCACCTCAGATGAGCAGGCACTGTAGAGTGACATTAAGTGACTCTTGGCGTTTCCCAGGTCGTCCAGGAACTTATTCACCACCTCATCTATAATCTTCGTGGCATGCTTCAAGGATTCCTCCTGCTGGGGGTTCCGAATTGTCTCCACCGAGACCTCGACAGTGAGGGTCCGTCCCATCAGGCGGTTTGCAGTCAGATTCAGCTCCTCTCTTTCTCCTAAACACGAAACATCGGTCAGTAGGAGACAGAAACTTCGCACATCTGCAAAGCCAAAGTAGGCACGTGGCTACCTTGATTTTGTATTAGACACGTCTTTGAAAATTTTAAAGCTTAAAAACCAAAAATAGGTCTGGCTGTGGTGGCAACGCCTTTAATCCCAGCACTCGGGAGGCAGAGGCAGGCAGATCTCTGTGAGTTTGAGACCAGCCTGGTCTATAGAGTGAGTTCCAGAAAAGGCTCCAAAGCTACACAGAGAAACCCTGTCTTGAAAAACCATAAATAAATAAATGAATGAATCAAACAAAAAACAAAACAAAACCAAAAAAAAGAAAAAACCACCACCACCAACAACAAAATACTACAGCATACAAGATTAACTGAGGAAGTGCCCAATGACAGAGCTAGGTCACAAAATGTCTTTCCCTGGAAGTCTTTCCACAGCAGGGGCAGCTATCATCCCAAGTCTGTCCACACATTTGGCAGAGGCATTTATAGCTGGGATGGAAATCGAGTGATTTCAGAGCAAGCAGAGTTTAGCTGGGAGAAAGGCTAGGGCTCGAGATGGGGCACAGCGGGGGCTTGGTGTGCACATCCAATTCTATGCTCTGGTCTGTTGGAACACAGCACACACTATTGCCCTTGCGCTCCAGAGCAAGCCCTGCCCTTCTCCCTGCAGACAGACTCGAGCTGGCCCTGGGTGTGCGAGTCTTTGCCAGCGACAGGGAGCTGTGGTGACCATGGACTCTGGTAACATTTCAAGATTTACACAAAACCGGCAACAACTCCTTTCTTTCCCAGATCCAGAACTCCCTAATGCATGGACTAGGAAGGACCCACTGCGGACAGACAGCATTATGGGTCTGGAGTTCAACTGCTCACATCCCCAGCTCTCTAGCCCACTGTACTCAGTGACCCACTCCTCCCTGGCTGCCATACTGCTCAGAGGACCACGGCAGGACATTTTACTCTAATTCCTTTGCCCGTCACACGTCAGACCACCTCACCAAGTCTCCACCTCCACCTCGCTCCTCCGCTCCTCCACCGTTGCCCTCCCCGCAGTGGAAAGCACTGTGGGTCTGAGGAAGGCTGCCTGACTCGCCTGCCCTTCTGGAGCTGGCAGACTGGGGTGGGGGTGGGGAGTACACGGAGACAATGACCACGGCCAGCAGCCCAAGGGCTGCAGCTGCTCTCTAGCTGCGGTTAACACTGAACTGGGGAGCAGGCGCACCCCAACTCAGCCGAGCGTTGGCTCGCGTTCATCAGATGCCCTAGAGGTAGGCGGCGCCCCTCCGTGGAAACGGCTCTCACCGTCACTAATCTGCCTCATGTCCTGGCTGTTCTGGATGCTGTGGATCATCTCCAGAAGAATTTCTTTCTCTTGCTCAACAGCAGTAGCCGCGTCTCTCAAAGCTTCAACCCTGTGTGGATTGGCAAAGCAAAACAGGTGTCAGGGCGACAGTGTCCTTCCTATCATTTTCCCTCAGCTGCCACCTAAATCAGGTCAAGTTTAAAGGACAGTAAGAAAGCTTTGCAAAAAGGCCTGACTGCGAAAATGCATCGCTGGGCATGGTGGTGCGCGCCGTTAATCCCAGCACTCAGGAGGCAGAAACAGGTGGATCGCATGAGTTTGAGGCCAGCCTGGTCTATAAGAGCTAGTTCCAGGACAGTCAGACTATGCAGAGAAACTGGGGGAGGGGGGTGTGTGTGGAGGTGGGGGGGTGGAGTTGGGGTGGTGAGCACTACTAAAAAATAAATTGTAGGGGGCTGGAGAGATGGCTCAGTGGTTAAGAGCACTGACTGCTCTTCCGGAGGTCCTGAGTTCAATTCCCAGCAACCACATGGTGGCTCTCAACCATCTGTAACGAGATCTGGCGCCCTCTTCTGGCCTTCAGGCATGGAGGCTGAACACTGTGTACATAATAAATAAATCTTTAAAAAAAATAAAATAAAATAAAAATAAATTGTAACAGGGTTCCAAAGACGGGGCTAGAGCTTGTAGCAATACTCCTGACTCAGTAGTGGGGCAGCAAGCACGAGTCACTCCCTCAGGCTCCTCTGAGGGCTGGGCTCCTATTTCCTTCCCCAGGGTGACCTGAGAGACTAAGGTCACTTATGTGGACTTGTTCTTTTAAAAGCTGTCTATTGCCGGGCGGTGGTGGCGCACGCCTTTAATCCCAGCACTCGGGAGGCAGAGGCAGGCGGATCTCTGTGAGTTCGAGTCCAGCCTGATCTACAAGAGCTAGTTCCAGGACAGGAACCAAAAGCTACGGAGAAACCCTGTCTGGGGGGGGGGGGGGGGAAGCTGTCTATTTGCATTGTAAATCTATACCCACTTCTGTTTTTCACCTGACTCTTCAGAACCACTTGGCTCCTGGGTCTCGGCACTGCACTCTGTGTCACATGTGGATCTGCCTGGTTCTCTCCGCTCTGGCCACTCGTGTGCACATGGAGTCTGCATGCTCAAGACATGAACTCCTTATTGGCCATAGACATGGAAGTCATTTGCCCTGCGAGCTTTGTTCGGGATAGCCTCACTGAACCGATACTTCTCCCATTCCCCCTCCCCCCCAAATAAACTCTATTACCCAGGGTGCCCTGTGCTGTTTCAGCCTCAAGCACCTGGGATCCCTGCATGTTTAGCCTACTAGTTAAGAGTGCCTCTATATGTCAAGAAAGGTTTGTTGTTGGTCCGTGTGCCTGAGTGTCTTAGCTGCAGGCATGGAAGCGCACTGTGTATGTGCAGTGTCCGCAGAACAGGAGGGCTTCGAGTCCCCTGGAACTGGAGTGATGGGTGGTTATGATGGGTGCTGGGAACCAACTCCTACCCTCTACCCTAGCACCCAGTGCTCTTAACCACTGAGTCATCTCTTCAGCCTCTTGTTTTAGTTTTTTGAGACATGGTTTCACTATGTAACTCAGACTGCTTTCCTGCTTCTGACTCCTGAGTGCCAGGGGGAGAGCCTTTTGAAGGGACGGATTCATCTCTTGTGGCTTTGCCTTGTGGTTTATCCTCTTCGAGTTCTAAGTGCTTTTCTCACATCCCATGTTCTATTTATAGTTTTACCTCCCTGGTATTTATTTCTTTAGGTCACTAGAATACACTTGGGCGTTAGGCAATAACCAAACTGCCATTTTCCTGAGAATTCTTTACTCCACATCCCATGTGACCTATAGGAAATGCGCCATCAATATGCTCGCTGCCCCCGCCAGCTGCTTTTCAACATCCTGGGCTTCGTACGGTGCAGTAACTGGTAGAACGGCCTCCTCCCAAATCTTCTCTAAAGATGATGTCGCTATTTAGATACCTTTCCTCCTCCACATAAACTGTATGTCTGATTTCTTGAAAATACGGGGCAGTTGGACATTCCTTTGACAGCGTAGTTTAATTTGCATCCATTTGTCTATGTCAGTTTTGTATGTGACTAGCTTTGAAATATTCTTCTCAGCCGGCTTATAGATTTCGGAGTGTTCCAGAAACCTTGCGGACATTGCTGCAGATTGTTTTAATTATAATTTTAGCCGATGGGCTGGAGAGATGGCTCAGTGGTTAAGAGCATTGCCTGCTCTTCCAAAGGTCCTGAGTTCAATTCCCAGCAACCACATGGTGGCTCACAACCATCTGTAATGAGGTCTGGTGCCCTCTTCTGGCCTGCAGACATACACACAGACAGAATATTGTATACATAATAAATAAATATTTAAAAAAAAAAATAATTTTAGCCGATTATTACTGGCTCGAGACATGCTGTTTTAGGGTCAGCTTACAACCGGCAACACTGATTGTATTAAATTTTGCTGGCTGACCTGTCACTTCCATCATTTCTTCTGAGTTAATGATCATACCGTGGAGGAAATAAAAGAATTTATGTCTCTCATCCAGTTGTTTTTTTAAGGTCTTTTGGTACTATAGTAGACAGTGCGGTGATGATATTTGTGTTTTTCCCCAAATTTAAAGGGAAAGCCTCTCTAAGATTTCGATGTAAAACCCTGATCATACAATCATATTACAGAACACTTCAACCGCTACCTCCGCCAGCTACACACACACACACACACACACACACACACTTCACATACAGGTGAGCAAACCCCCATGACTCAGAACTAGGGCGCTGACTCATGAAAAGCAAGAGAGAAACATTGCACAGATTTACGTTTCCTATTTCCAGCTCACTTTCTTATGGATTACCGTGACGACATTTCCAGCTTTTGTAGAGAAACAGTAATAGCTGACCCCAGAACGCAAGGCCACGGACAGGCGTTCCAAGCCAGATCACTCGTGGAAGCGGCCAACGAGGGAACAATGTCACCAGCCTTTTATTAGCACACACCAACCCATGACCTCCCATTCTCATCCCGTCCACATGTCACCCACCTGTCAAACCCCAGAATAGCTCTACGAGGCGTTCCACTTCCAGCGTGGCTCTAAGAGCCGGTCAAAGCAGGCAAGCACTGTACGGACAAGTCCGGCTGAAACCAAACAACGTAAGGCGCTGCTGGTACGCAACAGGCTTCCTCCAGCCCCGCTGCATGACGGCACGTCCTCCGGCAGATAAATGAGAGCCCGGTAGGTATGAGAGAGGCCCAGCTGGCACAAATGGGAACTGTTTATAATTAGAAACTCTAATTATGACTCCAGCGTTTGGAGAAATGAGGCACACTCTGAAAGCCCGAATTCCATTTCAACACTCGTGCCTGTGTTAAATGTGACTGAGGGATGGACGTTGTGCTAAAAAGGGGTTCGTTTACAGTAATCAGGTACAGCCCTTAGCACGTGGAGATAATTAAACAGATTAAAAAGGAAACATCTTGGGGGACACACCCTTCACCTGTGGATGAGAAGCTACTGAGAGCTAGGGATGAGGACCTGAGTTGAGAATGCACTTAGAATTGTGAAACCTTGAGTTTGCTCTCCCGAAGAGAGAAAGAGACTGATTGATTGATACAGTGATTGAGGGGGGTTTTCCCCCTGAACGTTCTTTATACACAGCAGAAACTGCCAGGACGGCATATATACCTACATATCCATTTATCATGGCCGTACTTCTGCCATGCCTCCTTCCTACGACATTCTTCATGATACTCAGGATCTTTTTTAAAATTCTGTCTCCCTTGTGCTGGAACTGTTCACAGCTGCCCCTGAAGGAAATCAACACTTCCCTTGGCACCTCTCTTAGTAGGGGTTTCTATTGATGTGACAGGTCAGCATCAGCAAGAGCAACATGGGGAGGAAAGGGTTTAGTCTGCTAACTCTTCATCACTGAAGGATGCCTGGGTGCTCAAACCCGGCAGGATCCTGGAGGCAGGAGGTGATGCAGAGCTCACAAAAAATGCTGTTCACTGGTTTGTTCCCTCAGGGATTTCTCAGTCTTTCTTATAAAACCCAGAAGCCCCAGTCCAGGCGTGGGCACCACTCACAATAGGCTGGCTTCTTCTGTGCCTATCACTAATTTAAAAAAACCAAACCCACAGCAGTGGTTCTCAACCTGTGGGTGGCGACCCCTTGGTGTGGGGGAGGTAGGATGACTTTTTCTCAGACCAACAGAAAACAGAGATATTTACAGTACTGCTTATAACAGTAGCAAAGTTACAGTTACGAAGCAGCAACGAAAATAATTTTATGGTGGGGGGGTCACCACCACACGAGGCTACATAGTTAGTAAGCTGAGAATTACTGTCCCGCAAGGCTTTGATCTTATGGAGGGATTTTCTCTACTGAGGGTCCCTGGTCCCAAATGACTCTAGCTCGTGTCAGTCAGGCTGACTTTACAACTAGCCAGGCCAGCACTGCCCATCTGCTTCCCCCTCAGCCTCTTCCTTTTGAGATAGGACCCCCTGTATCCCAAGCTGGCTTCTACATCCCGAGTGCTGGCATCACAGACACACGCCGATGCCTGGTTTATGGGTACTAGGGATGGAACCAGGGCCTTCGTGTGCACTAGGCCAGCAGTCCTCACTGCTCGGCTTGTTTAAATTAGGTTTGCACTGCTTATCCACTATTGAATTTTGTCTATGTAGCTTTTCCGTTAGTCTGAGGTTAGTGACTAAACCTTAAATACTGCCTGCCTCCCTTCCTTTCGTGTCTTAAGTAGCTAAGATAGACAGAGATAAATATTCAATCTTAATAAACTCTTGTGGGGATTCTCCTCTTGTCGGCAAGAGGCATTTCTGTGTGGACTGGGATCCAGGGAGCAGCTACATGTCCAAATTGGGGAAGGAAGCAGCGTCCCATCAGAGCGGACTGGGCAGCACCTCTGGAAAGCTGCACTCAGAGCAGGCTTCGGCAAAGACATCGTGGTAAGGATTTTCGTGAGCATAAAACTGGAGCATCCTCACCTGGTCCCCTGCCCCAGGCATCTCATGAGCCTGCAGTGGAGGTGTCAGTGTAAACTGGAGGGCGTGTGCAGGCAGGCGTCACTGGCTCACGAAACTGACCGCTGGGAGCTACCACCCAAACTGTGTGAGGAACCGCTGCTGACTTGGCCGAAATTTCCTCACCCAGGGCACCAGGGATAAGGAGCCCTTGGGTGTGGCCGACCAAAGCAGGAGCAGAGTTTGACGCGCTAACTGGCAGCGCTGGCTGAAAACTCCAGCAGGAGCCAAACGCTATGTATGACGTCAGCACACGAGATTCGCGGTGCCTATTCTAGACTTACTGTCACGGACACAAGCTCATTTGCTTAACACGTGTGTTTCCATAACAGGGAAACGGCAAGCGTTCACATCCGTGGGTTTATGGGGCTTTTTCTTCCACAACAAGTTCTTAAACTCCCAGACAAAGCTCCATGTGAGACCCTGGCTTCTGCTGTAATTCCTGATACTGCCAGTAAGGTTCTGTCACCAAAATGTCACATTTCGTTCACTGGCGGCACCACTCACCGGTACGTTAGCCTTACGGCAAGGCACCTAGTCCCTCAGTTTCTTCTTCTTTTCACCCCACACAGGTTTCATGTATCCCAGGCTGGCCCAGAACTCACTACATAGCCCAGGATGACCTTGAACTTCTGGTCCTCTTGTCTCTAAGATTGGGACTATGGGCGTGCACTACCATGCTGGCTTTCTGAAGCCAGGTATCAAACGCAGAGTTCTGAACATGCTAGACAAGCATCCTAGCAACTAAGCTCCCTCCCAGCCTGGAGTTCTCACAGCCGAGAGATAATAACCTCCTCCTCCTCCTTCTCCTCCTCGAGGGTTTTAGAAGTTTCAAATTACAAGGCATATGAAGTGTTCTTTCAAATTACACACTATTACTCCACATTAAATATGGTGTTGACTAGCTACGTAAGTCTGGGAACACTGAGACTGCCTAACAGGAACCTTAAGCAGTAAGAAACCAAAGCAAGGGAATGGAGCGGTTCCCTGGCCCCTGAGGCAACCGCCATTTCCTGCCTGGGTGGCCTGGGAAGGAACTACTCACTATGGGATCGGTTTTGGGAAATGTATGAACAGCCAATTTCCCAGTCCTACCTCCTATCCATTCTCCCTCTGCCAATCTCCAAAACCCAGCCCTTGGACAGCTTCTTTATCATCCACAGCTTCTAGAAGCTACTCAATACTCAGCATGTGCTGGGTGTTCAATATTTACTGAATTAAATGCTAAAGTGATTTTCTTCTCTTTAGTAAAAGCGCATTCTTATGCCTACTGGACAGTTTGAAAGATGATATATTCAACACTAGGGCACCTGGTGTTTGATCTGAGCAGCCCATCTTCCCGTGTTCAAACGTGAAGCCCACAGCTCTTGACTGCAACTCGGTGTTTGAATCTGAGCCTCAATTTCTCATCTGTAGAATACAGATAATGGTAACTCCCTCCGAGACGTGAGGCCTAGCAAGCAGATAGATGTATTGTTTATAAGCTAGGGTAAGCACTGCAAAGTACCTAGTCAGGTACTTAGCCACGACAAGTGCAGAATCCCATAGCGCTGGTTGCCAAGATCAAGAAAGGACAGGGTTAGCTCTTTAGAGGGGCTGTAGAAGACAGACTTTTTTTTACTGTCACAAAGCATAGTTAGTGTTATAAACCATTAGATAGAAACGGCAATCTGGTAAAGCAGGGCTGAACACTTCAAAGCATTTCCGGCATCCCTGAGGTCAGTTCATCCTCCAGGACACAAAGCCTTTGGGGTGGTTTCAGTTCACTAGGGAAAAGTGCCTTTCACTGTCTACAGAGTCCACACAACGGAAGGGAAAAGTCAAACGAAGCTACAAGAGCACTGAACAGCACCAAACCACTGCCTTACTCACGCACGGACTCTAAGGAAGCTAGCAGAGGGAACTCACACAAGCTTCATCTTTTCTCCATCATCCACATTTAAAACTCTAACTTTTAATTGTGTAGTGCTCTGTGGCACGGTCAAGGTGCCTTCTAATAAAGGACCCTACCCCTTGAGCCATTAAGGACACATGAATCCAACTCCCCGCTCAGTGCAACCGTTAAGTAACAGAACTAATCGCTTATGTGCAATACTCAGAATTCCTTTTACATTAATCGAATGTTACATTTGAATGCAACACCTCTCAAAACCAAGGCTTCCAGGAGTCCCCCCCCCCCGCCTCCAGCACTTGGGAGGCATTAATTCAGGTTTCAGGACAATGACTCAGCTTCAAGAAGAGCAACAAGTTCCAGAACCCTTTCAAGGAAGGAAAAAAGAAATCTGAGCGGCTGAGAATATACTGTCAAAGTTCAGTGCCTACTTCCTAGAGGGAAGCATTCCCCTCTCTTCAGAAGAGAAGGGCTTTAAAGCTGAGGCCCCTTTGCCTCACTCTGGGTTGGGGACATATGGTTCAGCCTTCTCTTGTGGCTACGCAGGAAATTGTGGGAAATGTCTCACCTGGTTTTGCTTCTAAAAGTAGTAATAATAATGCCTCGCTTGTAGTTTTCTGCACAAACACTTCAGTGTGTTTGGTGGACAAATGGAGGGAGATAAAGAAAGGTACCCAAGACTCAAGAGTTTGGCTCATACTCTTTTGCTTATGCAGAACCTGGAGAAAATTGGGAACAACACATTCGCAGTCCCAGGAGAGTCGAGGTGCCCTGATAAGGGTTTCATTGAACAATACCCGCACACAACCAAAACTTGCACAACTTTGGAGGCGTTACCGTTTCCAGCAGATACGTAAGGTTTCAAATTGTTACAGGCAACAAAGTGTTTGCAGCATTTGCTAGTATTCAATATTTTACTACGAGGCTGATCCCGTGATTGAACCTTAGGCAGACCGAGTATGACTCCTGCCTATCGTGTTCTCAGGCCTGTGGCTGCCACTTCTAAGGTGTCACTACCAGTATCTTCTAAATGCACAACAGATACGGACAGACTGCGGAGGGCACTGCACGTGGTTAGAACGAAAAAAAGACCGTGTCCAACTCTGGCACCCCCTGCGGCCCCTGGTGGATCTAATTCTCACTGGCCGTGGAAGGGGCAGTCTGGAATTTTCCTTACTCTTGTGTTACTATGATATGGTTTGGGGTAAAGAAACTTACTACAATGGGGGGGGGGGGGGGTTGCAGGACCAACACTAAACTGCTGCCTCCCTCCAAGGAGCATTACTGACAACTTGAAAGTTAAAGGTAGCGGGGACCACACAGAAGGTTCCGGAAGTTGGGAAGGCCGCGCTCGCCGGGGAAGGGGAGCCGGAGCGCCCCCCCCCCCCCCCCCCCCGCCCGTCCTCACCTGAGCTCCAGCTGGTCCAGGCTCTCCAGCAGGCGGCTGGAACGATCGGCCATGGACGAGGAGCGACAGAAGCGACCCTCGTGGGCCTTGGCGCTGATCTTCGCCTGGGCCATGAGCTCCGGGGGTCCGCGGCGTCCGCGGGCAGCAGTGGCGCGGGCCGCACGTCGCCGTCACCGAGGGCGCCGCTGACGCGGACGGCACCGCCCCCCGAGGCCGCGCGGCCAAACAAGGGCAGGCGCGGGCGCAGCTGCCGGCACGCGGGTGGGGAGGACCCTGTCCCGGAGCCCGTCCCAGTCTCCCACCCGGCTGCTTGCTCGCCGGTGGCTTTTGCTGTTTCTCCCCGCACCCACAATTCCCAGCAAGGACAAAAATCGTACAGCCTGTGACGTGGGAAAAGGTCCCCTTGTGGAACCTTAGACAATTAATTCAGTCTCTACTTGCCCGACCTGTCCGGTTACCAGGCAGGCTCCTAAGAGGACAGGACAGCCTGGACAACACGGTGCTCCAAATAAGGAGAAGCCCAGTGCATTCCTACTGTCTCACCTTCCTAATGAGAGATTATTTTACACCCAACTTACTGAAATCCTCTGTGAATAATATTCACCAGGCTCCCGTGTGAGAAGCTGTGAATGTCAGTCAGAGATGGAGCAGGGTTGAAATACAAAGCCGTGTCTAGTTAAAGTTGTGTTTTGTCCTCTCAATGCACAAGGCACAGAAAATGAGAAACTTGAAACTGATTTACAACCATTAGTCAGACTCAAGGCCATTCGATTACTGAACAGAGTCAGGGCCCTTTAAGAACGGCTGACTTCCAGACCCCCACCCCATTTTAACTATTAAGGAACAGTGGATTATCTGGCTTCATTAAACACTGTCATTTCACGACACAGACATGAATGCCTTGTAAGCGAGCTCTTCTGGACGCTGACAAAGGATCATGTCTCCGGCCAGAGTGAGTTCAGGGCTAGGCTGGGTAGTTTTGACAAGAGCCCAAAGTCTCATAAAGAAAAAGGGGTTGCAGACATAGGTCAGTGGTACAGCATCTGCCTCTGTTCTAGGTTAGTAACTAAGCATGGCAGATGCAACGGTTTGAATGAGATGTCTCTCATGCTCTCTTCCTCGATCCTCAGTCTGTGGCTGTTTGGGTAGGGTCATGCCTGGCCTTGAAGGAGGAAGTGTGACTGCAGGTGGCGGAAGATTAGCTACTCCACATCTCTTTGCCTCCTGCTTGGGTCTGAGATGAGTGCTCAGAACCTGTCTTTGCTGCCATCAAGGACTCTGACCCTCGGTAACTAAGCCCAATTAAATGATTTCTTAGTTGCCTTGGTCATGGTGTTTTGTCACAGCAAAAGGCACTAATGTAGCAGATATCTCAAAGTATCTATTTACTTGGTTTCACAAGTTGAGCACACAGAGGTATCTTCAGACTATAATCTGCCACATGTATGCTCCTGTCTAAAGGTATGTGAAGTCTCTTTGTAAACTGTGACCTTAAACTAGCATGCCTCGAATGGATGGGCTACTATATATACATATATGCTATATAATATATAGGACTACGCATGGCCCAGCTCTTCTCGAGTTTGTGGAGAGCTTTGCTTTGGGAATGGATCTCATGCTCTTCCTGCCCGGTACAGATCTTAAATCTTTGCTGTTTACCTCCTGGTTGTGCTTATTTTGGTTTCAAAAGGAGCAGGGAGTTTTTTGCAGGCTTGGTAATTTTCAGGTTCCTAGCCTAGAACCACTCTGTATACTCTTTCCTATTCTAGACCCAACCCATTCTACCTTCAGACTTCCCACTGTCACCTGCCAGTCTTCCCTGGGTGACTGCAGAGAGCCATCTGCACCCACAGCATCTATCCTGCCTCTCCTGTGAATCCTCAATACAGGATTTAAAGTACCACAGTAGATCGCACAACGTCTCGGAAACCTCCAGTGGCTCACCACAGAGGAAACAAGGAAAGTACCAAGTGTGTGTAATTTTCTCAAAACCCTAAATCAAACCACAAGTCAGGGGCCACCTTGTGTGTTTTTTCCATGGCTCATTCCTTCTCCTTTGAATCTGCTTAAGTTCACTTACCAGTGAGATGTTTCCTGAACAGTTTTAAAAATATGAGCGTACTTGGTGCCTATCTGTAATCCCAGTAGCAGAAGGCTGAGGCAGGAGGACCCTGAATTGGAGGCTAACCTAGGCTACACAGCAAGATGTTGGCTCGAAACAAGAAGCAATTCTAGGGCTGGAAAGACCTAAGTGGTGGAGTGCCTGCCTAGCACGTGTGCTGCCCCGGGTCTGAGTCCTGCACCGTCCTCCTCCTCCCATCATTTACCACACTGCCCTAATGGGTAGTTTTATCTGCTTATTTGTTCCCAATACTATCCATACAGCCCATTCTCCATGTCTGAGCAGTAGAGGGACAGGAGCATTTAGGATTACTGTCACATCTCATGTACTTCAGGCAGCTGTGAATAAATGATGAGATGCAAAAAAAAATGTTGTAAATATTAAAAATATACTTTGATAATAATCTACAATTTTATTATTAATGACTCCTGTCTAAATTCAAATTATGAAGCAGTTTTATAGTGTTTTAAAAATCATTTAGTGATGATGTCAGCACATTAAAGAACACTGTTACCTCTTCAAGAGAGCCTCAGTAAAATTTCCCTTTCTTGCTCCAAAGCCACAGAGAAACCCTGTCTCGGGAAAAAAAAAAAAATTTCCCTTTCTTGTCCAACCAGAAGGTTCAGCGGCTGCCTACTGCAGCCCATGAGTTCTGCTGTGCATGCTGTGTGAGCTGCTGGGAGTGAGCCCCTGACCTCAGGCACACTAGACAAACCTGAGCCACACACTTAGAACAACAGCTCCCTGATAGACTATCAGTGTGCACCACGCTTGGATGTGGAGTCCCTGGCAAAGAAATGCGAACGTTTCTTCTAGCTCCACATCTGCTTAGCTACTTTCAAGGCTGCCCTTCTTGCTGTTTAGCAAGCTCCTGCAAGTGTGTTTAAGGTCAATCGTGAGGAATATAGCCTTGACACTTTAACATAAAATGTTAAAGCAGCCTGGGCTCCATAGAGACTCCAGCTTAAAAACAAACATACACAGAAGAAAATTAAAGCACAGTCTAGTTGATTTTGCAATATAAATAACACCATATCTACTTTAAAAAAAAGTCTAAGTGAGGCTAGGCATGGTGGCAACCCCTGGAAGCCCAGCTCACAAAGTAGAAGAGAGGGACACCTGGAGGTCATTTTGGGTGCACACGAGCTCCTCCAGGACCAGCACCTGGGATGGAAGCTCGGCCCTCACGTGCTCTAGGGAAGGACCAAGGACATACATACACAGTTCAAAAAGCGACAGTAAAAAACTAATTTCTAGTGTGGATTGAGAAACACGGAAATTCTATTTCATACTAAATGATCCACTCTCACAGAGAAAGGGCAGAATCCAAGCTACATCCTTCTGTCTTCACCAAAAAGGAAAAACTGCAGATTTTGAAATTTGAGATTTAGTCTTTTGACAGGGTTTCACCATGGGTAGTCTTCCTGCCTGACTCTGAGTGCTGGAACCACTGGCATGCCCAGCTAGAAAAATTTCTCTGTTTTGTTTTTTTTAAGACAGGGTCTCATTATGTAGCTCTGGCGGTCCCGGAACTCACTGTGCAGACCAGATTGCCCTCGAAACTCCTGGGATTAAATGCATGCACCACTAAGCCCACCGAGAGAAATACGTTTAATATTGACAAATTATGACTCAAAAATTATATATGACATTTCTGCACAAATAACATGAAAAATACATATCAAGATCTTATTCTTCCACTGATAAAAGATTTTTACTTACTCACAATGGAACGCCAACACTTAAGAACTAAATATATCATACCAGATATAACCCAATGAAAAACTAAAATGAAGACAGGCAACGTGAAACTGATTTTTTTTTTTTAAGAGTGAAGGATTATTCCTGAGTAGACTAGACCTTCAACAATGTTTCTTGAAAAGTATACATACAAAAAAGCCCAGAAAACCTTTAAAAATAGGTTTGCATGAATATACAAAAGGACTAGTATTAAAATAAGTTAATTCTATGCATATATTTTCCTATTTCAAGTCGTTCAAAAGGATGAAAGGGATGGAAAGTTTCACTTTAATTGTTTGAAAGAGGTTTTTATTGTAGCAATATGCATCTCTAGTTAGAGCAAACGTAGAGCTGCAATGACAACACAGAACCTTACTGGCTTGTATATGTTTCTATAATCAATTTCCATTAACCCTCTGATATCCATAATCAATGATCTCAAAGATATATTATACATTAGGGTCACATAACACACAGAATTTCTGGAAAAAGCTGAGTTATGGCACCTTTTATTCATATTCATTTTCATTCCTAAAAAAATATACTAGATCCATTTGTACAGTACAAATAAAGAGGGAAAACATACAACAGTCAAGAGCTTTTCACGTTTTTCCTTTTAAAAACTGATTTTAACCTAAAGGCATGAATTTTAAGTTAGCTGGGAAAACATGATTTCCATTAATCCATAATTGCATAAATAGAATGATTTATGTTTGCACTGGTATGTTTTCTGTTCCTTTCATTCAATTTTACACAACAGCATGAAATATAAAGCAAATACAAGATTCTGAACACAAAAAAGAATACAGCACATTAGACACATTTATCCTAGATCTCTGGTCTCCTTTAGAAAACAAAGGATTCATTTTCCTGAGTCTCTTCAAGGCCACTTGATGTTGTGTGGTAATAGCTTTAATTACATTTCCTCAAGACTTCTTCTAATAGCTTCTTCTAATTCCACATCTGCATTTAAAAACAGAACTTTAAAAAGGGCAGACAACTAAGCATGTGTTGTTTGTGATTTTATCAACACATTTCTTTCTGAGAAGCAGAGTCAGAATGGAGGAAGGTACAATGCAATAGAGTTCTGAGTCTTCTGAAATGTAAGAATCTGGATATGACCCCAAGTCAACTTTACACATGCACTTAGTGTGCCAAGGGACAGGAAGGCATTTCTCTGCAGGGCAGGGATGCAGAAACTCAGCAGACCGCAGCAGCACTGGCATGCTACTTACTTCAACACTGAACAGCATCCTAAGAGTCAGGATGAGACATATGAGAAATGGACACAGTGAGTGGGATGGGATGGCAGGGGGCACCTGCCACCAAGCCTGACACAACTTGAAAGAACAGGAATCCAAATGTGGCAGGACACGCCTCCAACACCAGCTCTGTGAGACCCATAACATGGGCTACAATGAAATATCAGCTCATCTGGTGGGGGTAGGGTGGAGAAAGGGCTGGTAAAAATAGG